CTAAACTTTTTCATCATGAAATCCCATTCACCCGCGAGATCTGGAAAAACATAGCCCGCGAGACCGCAACACACGCCGCGTGTCGTCTTCTCATTGGTCTATTATCCCCAAATTTTTAGACGTTTGTGTTAAGGCAAGGCTCTCTGGAAACGGCGACGTGTCTTCTCTCTTTGGTCTTTTATTATTCCTTCATAAATCTCTCCTTCTCCCCTGCGTCTGTTTCTTTCCCCACATTTTCTCTCTCTCTCTCTGAACTCTGAAGGGATTTCGTTTTCTTTACTTCAAAATTAAGAGCAGAGTTTCTCTCTTCGGTGGTTCACTGGTAAGTTTTTTTTTTTCTCACCAAATTTTCCTGGAAAACAATCGGATTCTGTATTTAGACGTTTCTGTTCTTGGATTTTTTTTTTTTTTTTGAAGCCGCTGTTCTCTTATTGCTGTTTGGATCTTCCGTTTGTGTTTCTGTGAGATTTTTCGGGATGTTGTTCTCTAGTGCTCTGTGTTTATTGTTCGCGTTTTGTTTGGTTGGTGAGAAAGGTGAGGAATATGATGAGGAATGACGTTTTCTATTTTTTCCTTTTTTCTAGAATGTAAGTTTGGTTAATTCGGGTTCCTTGAATTGTTTTTTTAGGTTGATTTGGTTGGAAATTTGTGTCTCGGTTTTCAAGTGATGGAGGATCTGAGATTCCTGTATTTTCTGAGCGGCCAAATTATGGCGTTTGAATCTCTTTTGGCTATTTAAGAATCCTAATTGTTTCCACCTTAGCAACACATGAGAAATTGTTGAAACTTTTTTTTTTTTTGGTTTTTTAATTTATTTTACTTTTTTTGGAAGTGTTGAGCCTAGAAAAGTGCATCTTAAATGCTTTAATTTATTGGAATTGATTCAGCAAAAGAGGAAAATAGTAATTGCTGCTCCAAAGAGTTTTTTAGGGGGATTGGATGGTTTAATACTTTTTGCATTGCCATCATGTGCATCTCATCTCAAGATTGACAGTGTTGATAACCATGATGATGGTGATGATGCTTGTGCCGATGGTGGAGATAAGATTTGTCAATTTTTTAAACTGAGGTTTTCAAGGATCATCTGCTTGTATTGGAAATAATACATGCACTTTTTAATGCATTTGAAGCAGATGGGGTGAAAGGTTTGATTGGTAGTTGGAGAGCAGACCGATATGGCTATAGCTGGTCTACACAACGTTCCTGTGCTTGATAATTCTTTCCTTAGGGACTCTCAAGCATCGAGACGTCAAGAGAATGGAGGGAGGGCAAGCACCCGGGCATCCACACTCCTCCAGATGTGGAGGGAACTTGAGGATGAACATGTGGTGAGTCATGTGCAGGGGAGAGCTAGCGAAAGAATGCTCCAGCAGAGGAGTGATGAACTCTCAGCAACTGCTGCTCCTGATAGTCAAATTAGTGAACGTAGTGCTGTCTTGGAGGATGTGAGTGTCACTGAGAATGAGTGTGGCCAGTGGTCCCTGAACCATCCAAGCAGTTTTCACTGTGAGCAGTCTTCTGGTTTGGGGGAAGATGAAAGGGAGAGGGTGAGGCAAATTTTTGGGAAGTGGATGAACAGTAGCTGTAGGGAACGTATATCAAATGTTTCCCGTTTGAGCAACAGTTCCAGGGGAGAATGGCTTGGTGAAACTGAGCAGGAGAGGGTCAGAACTGTAAGGGAGTGGGTACAAACGAATACACAACAGAGAGTTGTTTCTAGGGACACTAGAGAAGAGCAAACCAATGATGCTGGTGGTCAAATTGATCAAATTCTTGATGGATTGGTTGCTAACCAGAATGAAGGCCAAACTGAGCATGCCCGCCGGGGCATTCGTAAACTATGTGGCCGACAGGCCTTGCTTGATATGGTTAAAAAAGCTGAGAGAGAAAGAAAAATAGAGCTTCAGGGGTTATTGGAGCATCGAGTTGTATCTAATTTTTCCCATCGAAACCGCATTCAGGTATATGTTTAGAAACAAATAATTAGCTGCTTTATCTGCGTTATTAATACTCTAATTCCTTATTTCATATATTGTAGTCATTACTGAGAGGGAGATTCTTGAGAAATAACAGAATTGTGGCAGATGAAAGATCTACTTCCATTGCTGCTAGTGAATTGGGTTTGTTGAGGCAAAGACAGACTGTATCTGGTCTGAGGTACTTAATTCTTGTTGTGAACTTGTGATATCAATAACCACATATTGATTTATTTTAAAGCCTTTTCTACCTTGTTTACGTGCCATTTTACTCCCAAGTCATAAGCTGACGTATGTAAAGTTATAAACTTTTTTTTTACAGTTTTTTTTTTTTCTCATTTTTAACAGGGAAGGGTTTATCTCCAGATTGGATAACTCTGTTTGCAGCCCGCAAAGCTGTAACCATTCTGATGCATTACCTGATGTTGGCATTAGTAGTGACAGAAATGAACAAAACCAAGCAGACAACTCACATGAAGTCATAGATGGATTAAATGGTCAATCTGAACATAACAATGAGGAAACTGATAGTCAAAGGTTATCAGGAGAGAGAATTGATTTAGAAGGTAATGCTGTTCATGATTTGAGCTCACAAGAAGCTACTGCTTGTGTGGAACACTGGCCGGAACAAGTTTCTGAAAATGTGGTTAGAGAATGGCAAGGTTCCATCAGTGTTGAATCTAGTGAAAGCAGAGAAGTCGTTGGACAACGTGTGACAGGGGAGTGGCAAGACAATTGTGTTAATGAGTTGTCTCAAGAAAGATTGCAGACTGAAGCTGATGAACATGGTCACTTGCAAGAAACAAGTGAGGCATCTAATGGTCAATCTGGCCAAAGTGAAGAGGGAAGTGGAGTCCATGAGTTAAGAGATCAATCTGAAAATCTGGAAAGCAACTTGGTAGCAAATGCAAATGATCAAGAATCTACTTCTCTAGAAGAACGCTGGAGGGAGGAGAATTTGGAAAATGAGGAAAGACATTGGGAGAGGGCCAGTGATGAGTTTCATGAATTGGCGGATGGTAATCTAGAAGACATTGTTGAGAATCAACAAGAAACTTCTGCTAATCAAGAATTCTTTGAGAGTGAAGGTGGAGAGCATGATCTGCAAGAAGGCCCTGATGTGCAAGTTGAGGATGGTGGGTTGGAAGAGACTGCTCAGATTACGTTTGAAGGGTCTTCTGATCAGCAACCTGTTACCTTTGGAAGGGCTGAGACATATTATTTTCCTGATGATGATAATGTGTATGGTATGGAACTCAGAGATCTCTTAAGCAGGTAAAAGTTCTATTATAATCAGTTTTATTCATTTTTACTTCTTAATCGATACAATCCTGGCAGAAATTATTATTCATGTTCTAAGATAAGTGTGGGACTTCCTTGTAGTGTTTACTTTTGAAATCTGTTTCTGATGGAAACTATTTTCATGTTTTAGGAGAAGTGTGTCAACACTTCTTCATAGTGGTTTCCGTGAGAGTCTTGACCAGTTGCTACAATCATATGTGGAGAGGCAAAATCATGCTGCAGTTGACTGGGAGTTGGATGAAATGTCTTCTATTCCTACACGATCAGAGCACGATCTAGAGCAGCAGGGTGAGGATCAGAATGAGGGTCAGGGTGATGCTGCTGAGAATCAACCACTTGAAATACCTTCTTCTCAAATGATGCCTGCTCAGCCACTCTGGGATCACGATTCACACCATTATAACTGGACATCACATGACATGCAACAGCACTTTGGGATGGTTTGTTCATTTCTTTCTGTCTTGGAACTTTATTCCCAAGTCATCATTCTCGTATTTTTCTAATAACAAATAATTCTGATAAAGTTATTTCTTGAAGGGAAACTATTGCATTTGTTTATTAAATTATATATATTTTTTTCCCATTATATTTATGCCTTCTTGATGAAACTAAACAGTAAGCTGTGGTTCAGGATGGATTTAAAATTGGTAATGGTGAAAACAAGAGCTACCTAAATGATATTTTTGGAAAGTGCAAACAAAGATTTCCCCTGATTCTACAATACTTCTTTATGATTCATTTTAATTGTGTCCTTGCTGCTTTGTTGCAGGAGTGGGAGATCATTAATGATTTGAGGATTGACATGGCCAGGCTGCAACAGAGGATGAATAACATGCAGAGGATGCTGGAGGCTTGTATGGACATGCAACTTGAGCTGCTGCGCTCTGTAAGACAGGAAGTTTCTGCTGCACTTAACCGGACAGCTGATTCACAAGGTTTCTCACTTTATCATCCATGTTGCTGCAATTTATTTTACATCCTTTCCTTTCTATTTTGTGGTTCACGGGCATCTTTCATTATTCCTACAGGAGAACTCTCGAGAAAATTTTATTTTTATTTTTTCCCTTCATATCTATTTATCTTGATGGTTATCTTAGTTTCTTACTATATTATTCATCATCTAAAGAAATGACGGGAATACTATCTTGAAATAGAAATTCAACTCCTGCTAAATGACATTTTTTACTTATGAATGAAGCTAAGAATTTTCACTTGCCAGAACTTGTTTTCTGTGCTCTCTTTTTCCCTTCTATACTTCGTTTGGTTGATACCTGGCTACATTCCTGCAGGGGAATCTATTGATAGCTTGCCTAGGGATGAAACTAATTGGGATCATGTGAGAAAGGGAATATGTTGTATGTGCTGTGATGACGCTATTGATTCTTTACTATACAGGTAAATTCTGACAAATGTCTGCAGCATTTTGACAAGATCTTGCTCAATTATTCAATTTTCATCGCATTCCGTTGTCTCATCGTTACAGATGTGGGCACATGTGCACATGTTCCAGATGTGCAAATGAGTTGGTCCAAAGTGGAGGGAAGTGTCCTATGTGCCGTGCACCAGTAGTTGAAGTCGTCCGCGCTTACTCCATCCTTTAATGTCAGGAGACTTTTCAAACTAAAGATATAGAAAATTTGGATTAACAAATAACAGCATCTTCCTTAGATTTTTTTTTTTTCCTGGACCCTCAAGGTGCCTAATTTTTCTTTATTTTCCTTCTTTTTATTTCACTTTGAATTTAACATACAATATATAGATTGAATGTGTATGATTGAAAAAGAAACTGCCATTGCTCTAATTTATAATAAATTCTTGAATGAGATTGTTACATTTTGCATTTCCTTAAGGGATCCGGTGTTGATCTCGTCAATCTTTTGAGTAAGACCCTCCCGCATTATGTTTGAACCGCCATTCTCAACGTCAAAAGGATGTGGTTTGTATACAGTGGTCGATGGCGGAGGTTTTGGTGAAAGGCATCGTAGATGCTTGCTGATGTAGGGTTGCATTGCAAGATAGAAAAAACACTATTACAAGCATACATTCAAGACTTGAGAAACAAACAGCAAAGCAACATCCACAGAGCCCTACTTCAGTACCCTTTAATTACGGTAAAACAAAACAAAAACAGAAAAGACAGCGAAAAGACGGTACAATCTTGGAACATTCTACCTAGCAGCATCCTAGGTAGGAGATTACAAGAACTTAATGGCAATCCTGTTGAACATGTCCTTCCTTAATGGCAATCCTGTTGAACATGTCCTTCATGAAGCTGTTGATCCCTGTCTTTGCCTTGGAGGAAATCGCCAGCCCTGGATGGACTTGCTTCAGGACCCTTTGCTGCCAAGACCCTCTGTTCTCTTCCCCCTTTTCCCTCCTTGGATCTTGCATTGCTTCTCTCTCTCTGAAGTCTTCTTTTCCTAGTCTTTTTCTTCTTCCTGCTTATCCTTCTCCACCCTTTTGTTCTTTGTCTTGGCTCTTCTACAGGAACTTGAGTCCTCTGTTCTTTCTGCTGTCTGTTTTCCCCTGGAATTTGCTTTGGCGCTTCGTGGGAAGCTTGGTCTCCTGTTCTTTTTGCATTAATTTGTTGGCACCGTTTCCTTGTCTTTTTGTTGTACATTGTTGTTCATGTCTTGAACAAGGATTGTATATATTGTCCGGTACTTCATGAGTGAGGAAACGGAGTTAAGATTGAATAACTTACAAGCAGTTTCGGAGGAATGACAGCTGCAGGACAAGCGTCAGCTAGGTAATGAAGTTAATGGATACAAGGTGAAAGAAACAAAGGGGAAAACTGAACACTTGTCTGCTACTTCAAAGTTTAGTATTTTTTCTTTTGTTTGGATTGATCACCGAGCAGCAGAAGTTTCCCTTGAGACATTTCTGGTACTATTCTGATAATTTTAAATTTAACCAAAGAGTATATATGGAACAACAGTATAAAAGATGACGATGCTCTAATCTCTTTTTAGTGAAATCACATTTTACTGAAATCACATTTTACTGAAAATAAAATATTTTAAATTGAAATCATATGGTGTACAGATAAGATATGTTAATAAATAAAAAATGATTACTTCTCATTGTATAGCTTAAAATACATATTAAGAAAAAAAGAAAAAAAGATGAAGATGCTTTTGCATGGTATATATATATAATATATATATATATATATATAATTTGCATGTAATTATATATTCTAGCCATGCATTAACCTCTAATTAATAGAATTTTCTACTCATATTAATAAAAACAAGAGTTCAATTCAATGAGGTGATATCTACCAATTTAAAAATTTTAAATTTATTTTAAATTTTGAGATTCATGCTTTTATAATAACTTATTATACTCATTTATCTAAGGTGAGTTGATTAGAGAAGGCAAAATATATATATATATATATATATAATAAAAGATGTTACTAATATGTTTTTTAAGAGTAGAGGTTAAGGATGTAATTATTATATTTTTTTTAATATTAATTAGTATTAATACTATTGGAAAAACAAAAACTGACTTTTATTTAAACAATTATTCAATTAAAATAATCTATATAGTATAGGTAACAGAATTAATAACAATTTTTGTAGTTTTTAATATTAATAATTAATGTTTAAAAGGTATAATAATTGCATCATTAATCTAGGCTGTAAGCTAAAAAAACCCTAAAATAAAAATCAAATTGAATGGAATATGGACTTTACAAAGAAACCATAACAAAAGACACCAGAAATTGAATGTAAAATATTTGTAAAAATGTACCAATGATCTTCCATTTACTTCTTCTTCTTCTTCTTTTAAATTTTCCATTTAGATCTATGAAAAAGGAATGTAGCTGGCCAATGGTTTGGCCTCAAATATAAGGAAGCAGCACTGTAAAGTGAAAACTGTACTAATTGTATTCATTCCAGCAACCTATCTTCCTTTCAAACTCTATATACCATGCAAAACTCATGTAAATGTACAAAATTAATCTCAACCATGTAATGTATAGTACTGTAATTTCAAAATCACAAGTACCACACTCATAAAAAACACGAATTATTATATATGCTTCTTCTTTTTTTTTTTCAGATATTTAAAATTTAAATCTCTAAGAAGTTAATTAATTCACAAAGAAAGATTCAGTAATAGAACAAGTAGTATTATTCAATTATAAAGGGAATGGAACATTCGAAGATATATATAGTTATCTGCGTAGGAGCGCATCATATACATATAAATATAACACATGAAGAGTAAATAATTAATAGTGTAAGGGGGAAGAGAGTTTTCAAACACTCTTACATCTTTTCTTAATGTTCCTGGAAATATCTTCAACAAGGTTTGATCTGAAAAAAGACTCTACCTCTTCTCTTCCCGTAGTCTCGAAGAACATCATCTCCGATGGTTTTCTCTTCTTCATATTATTCAGTCTGATCACTTTCTTCTTCGGCGTCGGGGGGCAGCTTCTAACGGTTGGGATCTTGTAATCACTGGAAGTTGGAGTTTTGCACTCTTCATCGTGGCAGCCGTCTGATGGCTCAACTACTCCTTCTCCTCCTCCCTCGCGATGTTTTGATGGACTTTGTGTGAGGTGAAGATGATCATCTCTTGATGACATATATGGGGGTAGTAATTAATTTGGGGTTCTGAATTAATATTGGGTGTTTGGAGAGGGGGAAAGTGAGAGAAAATCTGATGACAGTTGAGAGAAGTCTTGTGTGTATTTTAATGTCCTTCTTATCTTTGGAGGATGAGTCTATTTTAAGACTCACCTTGTTGTTTCTTTTTTTCGTCGTTACATTACGCCCACACTTTCATAATTTTCTTTTTCCTATGTTCATATTGTTCCTTTTCCTTGGCAAAATTCCTGTGATATTCAAACAATACTATTTGCTCATTTTGTAAAAAGAAAACGTTATCTAAAATTATAAGACAAGATTAAAAAACAAAAAAAAAAAGCTACAAAATTAAGTAAATATAGATATAGATAATTAATTATTACTTGCTAACTTATTTAATTAACAATAATTTATTAACAACACTTATTATTAACAAATTAGCCACAAGCAACAAAGTGAATACACACTAATATATTAATTCACACATCTCATTCAAATAAAAATAATTTTTTTTATGCTCACCCGGTATCCGAAAATTCATTGGACCACCAATTATTTCGAATTCAAGCAGGGTAGGACTTAATAGACGACAAAACTCTCCCTCACAATTTTTAACGAAATTGCATTTTTAGGAATTGAAACCAAGACCTTTGATTAACTTGGAAGAGTTCCCTATCAACTCATCCACCAGCTCGTGGGTAATAAAAATAAAAATTATAAATGTTATATTATGTTATAAGATTTGTTGTGAATTAATTAATTAATATATGTTGTTAACAAAGTAATCATTCTTGTAACTTTATTTGTCAATGAAAAATTATACTTAAATGTTAAAAATAATAATAGAGACTCAATGTTCTACAATATAATTATATACCTAATAATAATTACTAATTAACTGTATTTGGCTATATATGAGAAAAATAGTCACTACGTTGAAGAGTTTTGGTTGCTTATAACATGGGCATGTCCCATGCATAAATTAAATCACTTTCACTGCACATCTATCTGCTGGTTCTCACAACAATGTAAAAAAAAGTTAATTGGTTAATTTGGTTTTTATTCAACATAATCCAAAACCATTGGCATCTCTAGAGTCTAGACTCTAAGTATAAAGATAACTAGATGTGTTCATTTATTCCACTCAATCACATGAGCATCAGGTGGTGTTGTGTTCTGTTCGAATGGAAGAGTGACCGCTCATCTTCACCTGTCTTTTCATTATTGTCTCTACATCTGCTTCGCGCATTGGATTCCCTCACTTGCATGGACAATATGCAAATCATATCACTATGTAATGATATTGACATGGACAGTCGAAATTCAATTCCTTGGCACTAAATAATTAATCTCCATTTTTGCGTTTATATCAAGCTACCTCCCCGAAAATTGACTCCTCAGCTGGAGCGTTGTTAAGGAAAATAATGCTTGGTTGGTTTCTCTAATTTAATTGGTAGCTAGATGAAGTTGTTGTTTTTTTTTTTTTAATCAATTAATAAAGAAAAAGAAATATTAAATGATAACTAAATGAATCGAATCTTTGAATTTAATGATTCGTTTTCAATTTTTAAATGTTTATATTAAATTGATTGATAATTCAACTCTCATTAACTGTTTGAAAAATTTTCATTCTTCATAATTTCTTATGTTTAAAAAAAAAAAAAAAAACAAAGGAACTATATATTTTGGTCCACAAAAACGTTAAATAGGAAGAATAAAGGTGGGGTATTCCAAAAATCAGGCCCTACTAAGTCTAATGTTTTCTATCTGTAATCGAATACTAAGAATAACAAGAAGTATAGATTAACTATAGTACTGGATATTAGCCTAAGCACAAGACCTCGATGTAGGTGAATACATAGCTGAGAAAGTCAGATATTAGGCAAGTTTATGTAGTGAAGAGCCAACGTAATTAAGCAGACGTCAGAAGGAATGTGTGTACAGGCAAAATAGTGCAGTGTGCTAATTAATCAACTACTATGGAAATACTAGAAGAGGAGTCTTTCTATTTTTTCTTTTTGGCATTTTCTCTGAATTCCATTTTTAGTATAAATTTTTTTGGTGCTGGCTGCTGAATAATGATGTCTGAACAACAATGATTGTAAAACTTAGATTCGTCCCGATCAATAGAAATCGTAGTTGATGAAAATGGATCGGAGGTCGTTCTCCATGTTAGTGGGGGGTTGGTAATTATGCAGAGATGCCCTGACCCCTGTGGAAGACTGAGGAAGGTTTCCGATCGATGATGGGGGTATGACTGTGGACATGGGGGTTTATTATAGCTTGGCCGGACGATGAGAAACACCAGCACCGGAGAAGAAGAGTATGAGGGCGGAGATGAAGAAGCAGAGGGATAAGCTCTCTCAAGGAGGGGTATTCTCGCTTCTTCTTTCGATGGGCATTTTGGGAACTGAAATATCTGGAACTAGAAAACTGTAGGTAAACATGGACCGTCAGATTTGAAAGATCGAATGGCAGCCGTTGGATACAATTAATTGGTGTAATAATTACTACTAATACTCGCTAAAACGGGTAACCCGTTTATTGAACCAGTTAATACCCGGATTAAATTGAAGGCAAAACCATAAGTTAAGCCCCTGAACTAACCACAGAATCGCTATTAAGCCCCTAGACTTTAATTGATGCAGTTAAGCCCTTGAACTCTGGGATCAAAGCAATTAAGCCCTTCTTCTTAAGCAATTTATTTTAATTTCGTGGCTTGACTTAATTCAATCTAGAACTTTCTGCTGGATCAAAGGAAACTCTACCTGTGCTAAGTTCAATTTCGTGGACTGGTGTCAATTCCCACTCCATTGTACAGTTGATTTTTAACTTATTGAACTTTTAATGTAATGTATGGGTGAATACCCCTTGTACTCTTTTATTAATAACACTTTTGATTCATCAAAAAAAAAAAAAAGCAATTTATTTTAAAAATTATCTAGGGGCTTAATAGCGTAAGAAGAAGGGTTTAATTGCTTTGATCCCAGAGTTTA